GCTGTTCAGCCATGGAAACCCATTCCATGAAGCTCTCTACGCACTGTTGTTGTGCTAATCTGAAGGCCACATGAAGTTTGGAGGTCTTTAGCTATTGACTCTGCAGATAGTCTGCGCAAGGTGCACTTTACAATGCGCTGACCTCGCTCTCATTTTACGTGGCCTACCACTTTGTGGCTGAGTTGCTGTTGTTCCCAGTTGCTTTCACTTTGTTACAATACCACTAACAGTTGACTGTGGAATATTTAGTAGCAAGGGAATATCACAGATGGACTTGCACAGGTGGTAACCTATTGCGGTATCACACTTGAATTCACTGAACTCCTGAGAGCAACCCATTCTTTCACAAATGTTTGCAGAAGCAGTCTGCATGCCTAGGCACTTGATTTTATACACCTGTGGCCATAGAGATGATTTAAACACCTGAATCCAATTATTTGGAGGGGTGTTCAAATACTTTTGGCAATATAGTATAGTTCTAAAGCTTCCTCAAAGCTTGAAAGCCAGTTGTTTAAAGTGAAGGTCACCACTGCTATTACACAGTTGCCAACATTCCAAAAAAATGTCCAATTAGTTAATTAGGAGTGGGGCATTCACTTAAAATGGGTATGGTTCTACAAGAGGCATATAGTTACTGAACTGAAGTCAAAGCATCAGGGTATGTCAGACAGGTAACTTGAATTTTCAGGAGAGCTCCAAAATTGCAGCTTATTTCTCTCACTATAGGTTTCCTTTAGTCTATTCAGTATATGGTATAAATGAGAACTGTACTTGAGGGAAGAGAGTCATTTTCCCCCGGGCCAGTACCAATATGCTGGTGACCCTGGCTGGAGATACTTCATAGCTCACACATCTATTAGTGCTGGGTCATCAGCCAGTGTCACATGACCATTATATAGCTACCTGCTTCCTGTACCTGGGATCACAGCATATAGCAGAAGGAAATCTTTGTGACTTTGGAATGTCATGTGACACCAAAAGCCACAAAATGTGTGTCACAATAAACCACATCTTTTAGGTAATAAGCATTCACCATGACATGATGGCATATTTTTACATGGGAGTCCATGAAAGGGCCACTTAGCTGTAGTTGCCCCCCAAGTCAAAATTTCCCTACTCCTCCCCTTACAAAGGTTACATTTACCTGGAATTTAAAGCAGACTTTCAACCCCAAATGGCATGATAAAATCAAAAATTAAAAGATAAACTAAAACCAGCTTTTGATGCAGTATTCATCTTCAATCCAGAAATGTCAGCACTGCTTTTTTTCTGTTGATAGACATACTCAGTCTGATGGTCAACATCATTTACCCCCCCCGTTTCCTGAGTCCAGTTCATAGTTACAGTTGTGCATACCCTGGCAGAAATAGTGACATTTTGGCATTGATATTGAAAATATGACTGATCATGCCAAAAAAAACTTTTATTTAAAGTCTTTTTATCTAAGAATAGTGATCATATGATGCTATTTATTATTACATATTTATTTGGCTACTTTTTAAATTATAATGAAGAAATCACCAAAATGGCCCTGGAATGTTTGGCCTTGGTACAGACACACAAGGCGACACACACACTGGTGTTAAAGGTTAATTTCCCATATCTGTGGCTTTTTCAATTGCAATTAGTGTCTGTGCATAAATAGTCAATAAGTTTGTTATCTCTCATGTGGATGCACTGAGCAGCCTAGACACTGAGCCATGAGGAGCAGAAAAGAACTGCCTAACCTGCATAAAAAGCTAATGGAACTTTATAAAGATGGAAAAGGATATAAAAGGACATCCAAAGCCTTGAATATGCCAGTCAGTACTGTTCAATCACCTATTAAGTAGTGGTAAATTTGGGGATTTCTTGATATCAAGCCGAGGTCAGGTAGACCAAGAAATACTGCAGCCACAACTGCCAGAAGAATTGTTCAGGTCACAAAGAAAACCCCACAGGTGACCTCAGGAGAAATACAGGCTACCCTGGAAAACAACAGTATGGTTGTCTCAAGGAGCACAATACAATGATACTTGAACAAAAATGAGCTGCATGGTCGAGTTGCCAGAAAGAATCCTTTACTGTGTCAATGCCACAAAAGAGCCCAGTTACAATGTGCACCTTGACAAGCCTCACAACTTCTGGCATACTATAATCTGCAGTGATGAGACCAGAATAGAGCTTTATGATCACAACCATAAACATTATGTTTGGAGAGGGGTCAACAAGGTCTATAGTGACAAGAATACCATCCCCACTGTAAAGCATGGTAGTGACTTACTGATGTTTTGTGGGTGTGTGAGTTCTAAAGGCACAGGAGAGCTTGTGAAAATTGATGGCAAGATGGTTTCAGTAAATACTGTCAGGCAATTTGTATTCTTCTGTATGAAAGCTGGCATGGGACGCTCTTGCATTTTCCAGCTGGACAATGAACCTAAGCACAAGGCCAAGTAGACCCTCCAGTGGTTACAGAGAAAAAGGTGAAGGTTCTGGAGTGACCATCACAGTCTCCTGACCTTAATATCATCGAGCCACACTGGGGAGAACTCAAATCTCATCCAAGATGACCAAAGGCTTGCATGACCTGGAGACATTTTGCCAAGATGAATGGGCAGCTATACCACCTCGGGGCCTCATAGACAACTATTACAAAGGACTGCATGCTGTCATTGATGCTAAAAGGGGAAATACACATGTATTGCCCTCCAGGTTAGCCAGATAGGCTGGTCTGATTTTTTTCCTTTTTAGACAGAGGCTGAGTAGCAGCCTGGGATAAGTCAGCCTGTGAGTGAGGCAGGAGTTCACCTCAGGACAGGCTAGGGAGGTTCTGAAGGTCAGAGCTTCTGGAGGCCTCCCACCTCTCCAGAAACCTGAGAGTTTTCTGGAGGAGGGATGGAGGAGGGGGAGGAGGCTCAGATCTGCATGCTTGAGTTACCTTGGCCAATCCCCTGGCAGGAGGCTGGACATGGTGACCAAGGCAACCCTTAAGTATAACAGAGCCAGGGAGCAGTTAGGGCAGTGTAGGGTGCAGGATAGACTGAGAGGAAGTCTGGGGTGGGGAGCCCACTAGCAGGCAGGATTATAGAAGGGAACATCTCCTCTGTCCCATTGTCCCCTTGGGAGGATGGCCTGTGAATCAGGGAGGGAGCCAGCCTGGCGTGTGGTCTGAGGGCAGCCACCAACCCACCAAGCAAACAGGAAAGGACAGAGTGACTGCTCCTGCACCCCCTGGGCCATATGGAGGGAGTGTGGCAGTCAGGTGCAATACCCAACTAGTCTTCATCTGAGACTTTGTTTTAGAACTGCAGCTCTTAGGCCCTTTTGCCCAGGGATACCCTCAGGCAGCTGGGTGAAGAAAATGATTCATCCTGGGGTCTGAGGAGGTACACCAAATAGATTTGGATGCTCTTAAACAAGATACTATTTTGTCCATATTTTTGTACATAGTTGCTCTAAGTTGTCCTCTAGTTTGCAGTTTCCTTGGGCTTCCTGTATACTCCCAGACCCCATCCAAGTTGTCAACCCCTTAATAAAACAACAAAATCAAGCTCAAGGACTGTTTACTGACTCCAGTGTGCAAAGTGTGGAAGAAAATGCGTGTTGCCTGGCTGTGCATAGCTTTTGGGGGATATTAAGAAGTAAGGGTATGCAGACTTTTGAACAGGGGTCATTGTTTACTTTTGCCATGTTTTGGTTTATTATTGTGCCATTCTGTTATGACCTACAGTTGAATATGAATCCCTTAAGAAATAAAAGAAATGTGTTTTGCCTCCTCACTCATGTTTTCTTTAAAAATGGTACTGTTTATTGCCAATTGTCCAAGAGTATGCAAAATTTTGAGCACAATTGTACATGGCTACATAGTTTGTTAGGTTGAAAAAAGACACATCTCAAGTCCATCTAGTTCAACAGACAGAAAAAACAAACAAAAATAGAAAACCTTCATATACCCTATAATCCTATACCCACAGTTTATCCAGTGGAAGTAAAAAAAAACAAAAAAGCCCCTTTCACAGGAAGGGTCCAATCAATTGACAGGCAGACCCAATCGAACACTCCATTTACCCCTATGGACCGGCGAATGTAAATGGACTTGTGTCTGTTTGCACCTGCCTACCTTGAATCCAATCCAGAAGGGGATCCATCCCCCTCCATCTAGGCCAATCAGATCGGAGGGCAGTCAGGTGTAAATGGACAGTGGAGTCAGAGCTGTCATATAGCACAGACATTATAGAGACCACATTTGCTCTGTATAAACCAAGCGGACACAGACCTATCATCAGCCTGCTCTGCTCTGATCAGCAGGGGATCCCCTTCTGATCTAATCGGAGTCTGCTCCGTGTAAAAGGGGCCTAACCATGATCCAAAACATGAAGGTGATTTTAACTCTTCCCCACTGTATCCAAAACAAAACAAAGAAATTAACCTCCCTGGCGGTATGATTATTTCAGATTTTTGGTGCTGAAAGCGGTACCATTATTTTGCATGGAAATATGTAGTTTTTTTATTGTAGGCTGTAATATTTAGGAATAACTCACTGAAATCTGTCCAAACAAGAGTCTATTAAACATCCCGGGTATGATAAAATTTGAAACACAAAATCATAAATTATAATTTAATAAATAATCATAAAAAATAATAATATAATAATAATACATTTAATTCAATAATATAATCAAACCAAAAACACTGACATTTGAAATATAGCACGAAGTTCGCACATCGCTGAGCAAAGTCGCAAAATTGTTTTCAGTGTCTGATGACGAATTTCTCCACGAATCATTATCACTCAATTCTGCAAGTGGTTCTGATTTACTATCGCTGTTCTCTAGCTTGTCTAAAACCGCTTTTGACCTAAAGGGACACTTTTTGGACGCCATGGACTTTTCTACGTTTCCAGGCAGAAAGAACAGTCAAAATGCAGACAGGGGACAGGACAGAGCACTAGGGACAAAATGTATGTGAAATGGTTTGAAACAGCAATGTTTTACTATGTAAAATCGTTTTGAAAAAAATGACATTTTTTTTAAATTTTCAAATTTCCTGCCGCCGGCGGCGCCCGTACGTCCCGACGTCACAGGGACCGGAACACAGGAGCCGGATGCCGGCATCAGCCGGAGGAGATGGCCGAGGATGCTGCAGGGGACACATCGCGGGAGCGAAGGACAAGGTAAGCTCTGCAGGGACTCCCTATGCAGCGCCGCATGGTAAGCCCGAGTGTACAGTAGTTCGGGGTTACCGCTTTTGGTACTGACATTTTACCTCGAGCTACACTCGGGAATACCGCCAGGGAGGTTAAAGTTAGAACATAAAGAGACCTCGTAACTTTTCCCATAATTGCCCGGTAGGCCACAGTACTGAATAGTGGGAGGAGGTCACATGCTCTGCTATACCTAAAAGAATTTGATATTTTTCAGTGTCGCCGACTGAAGAAGGAACAGCAGGAGAGTGCTGGATGGGGTAGAGCTTGACTTGGAACTGGGAATGAACCCAACATTTAGCTGTATTGTTGGGCCAATGAGCTGTGGGTGGGTGGTCCTCTGCCACTCTGATGCATGTATACACAGAGGCGGGGATGCTCCTGATATCCTTGACCTAAAATGGCCACATGGTAATATTAACCATTTGCCCTCTGGAAGATTTACCCCCCTTAATGACCAGGCCATTTTTTTGCTTTTCGCCACTGTGCTATTTCAACTGGTAATTGTCCGCTCATGCAATTCCGTACCCAAACCAAATGAATTTCCTTTTTTCACACAAATAGAGCTTTCTTTTGGTCGTATTTGATCACCAATGGGTTTCTGTGATATAAAAAAATATGTGGTAAACTCAAAGTTAGTCATAAATTTAGGCCAAAATGTATTCTGCTACATGTCTTTGATAAAAAAAAAAATTCCAATACACGCATAGTAGCCTCTCTGGCGCTATTCCTGAGTGTAGCTCGGGGTACAGTTTCAGTACCGCAAACGGTAACCCCGAGCTACACTCGGGCTTACCATGCGGCGCTGCTCTCTGTTCTTCCCTTACCTTGTCCTGCGTTCCTGCGATGTCCCTCCTGCAGTGTCCCCGGCAATGTCCTCTGGCGGATGCCGGCATCTGTCTTCTGGTTCCGTCCCCTGCGACGTCGGGACGTACGGGGACAGAACTGGCAGGAAATTTGAAAATGACAAAAAGTGACATTCACTAAATTCACTAAAATCACATAGTAAAACATTACTTTATCAAAGCATTTCACATACATTTTGTCCCAAGTGCTTTGTCCTGTGCCCTGCCTGCATTTTTACTGTTCTTTCTGCCTGGAAACTGAGAAATGTCCATGGCATCCAAAAAGCGTCCCTTTAGGTCAAAATTGGTTTTAGATCAGCTAGAGAACAGCGATAGTAAATTAGAACTACTTGCAGAATTGAGTGATAATGATTTGTGGGAAACGATTTGCGACTTTGCTCAGTGATGTGCGAAGTTGGCGCTATATTTCAAATTTCAGTGTTTTTGGTTTGATTATAATATTGAATTAATTTTATTATTATTATATTATTATTTTTAATGATTATTTATTAAATTATAATTTATGATTTTGTGTTTAAAATTTTAATATACCCGGGATGTTTACTAGACTCAGACAGATTTCAGTGAGTTATTCCTAAAAATTACAGGCCTACAATAAAAAAAAATACATATTTCCATGCAAAAAAATGTACCGCTTTGAGCACAGACATATGGACATAATTAGACTGCTAGGGAGGTTAATTAGTTTGTGTGAAATCTATTGCTTCCACAAACTATGATATATATATATACATTTTCGCAGCTTTTACTTTCTGACTGCCTAGCACATCTTGAGGTGCTAAAATGCCAGGGCAGTACAAACCCTTCCAAATGACCCTTTTATGGAAAGTAGACACCCCAAGGAATTTGCTGAGAGGCATGTTGAGTCCATGGAACATTTTATTTTTTGCCACAAATGTTTTGGAAAATGACAATTTGTTTTTTTTTTTTTTTTTACACAAAGTTGTCAGTTAAATTATATTTTTGCTCATGTATACCATTAATATATGTGGAATAACACCCCAAAGCACATTCTGCTACTTTTCCTGAATATGGGGATACCACATGTGAGAAACCTTTTGGCAGCCTAGTCACATACACGCCCCCAAAATCCAATGACCACCTCTAGGCTTTCAAAGGCCATTTTTCCTCATGTCACTTCCTCACTACCTATCACAGTTTCAGAGGCCCTAAAGTGCCAGGATAGTACAAATAACCCCCCCCCCCCCATTCACCCCTTTTTGGAAAGTAGCCACCCCAAAGAATCTGGCAAGAGGCATGGTGAGTATTTTGCAGATATCATTTTTGTCACAAGGTTTTGAAAAAGAATAAAACAAAAGAAAAAATAAATTTCTGTTTTCTTTCTTTGTTTTCCAAAAACTTGTGTGAGTTCTACAAAAACGTGAAATGAGATCTGCAAAATACTCATCATGCCTCTTAGCAAGTATTTTGGAGTGTCCAAAAAGGGGTCCTTTGTGGAGGGGGGGAGGCAGGGGGGGTGAGTCTCCTCACATTTTATGGCCAACATTAGAAGCTTATGCCAGACGTCACCCACTTTTCTAACCACTTACAAACCAAGCCTTTTCTGACACATTTTGTTTACTTGAAAAAACATTTTTTTTGCTAGAAAATCACTTTGAACCCCCAAACATTATATATTTTTTACTGTACTAATGGCACTGGCTGGGTGATGGGGTGATCAAAGGATTAATAGGGGCAATCAAAGAGTTACATGTGATAATCTAACGTATGCATGTAAAATGTAGCGTGCTCCGTGCTGTGTTTGTTCTTCTCTCCCTGGACAACATAGGGAGCAGCAGGGGGCACACGCATGCACCCACGGAAATAGAAAGCAATGTAAGATTATGTCGCTTAACCCAGAGCCACCACTCGCCTGCACATTATTGGCAGGCAAGTGGCAAGTAGTTTAAAAAAAATTATTTTAATAATTTTTTTTTTTTTATATGTTCTTTTTTTTAAACATTATTATTATTTATTTTTTTTTTACATAGTAAAATTGTACTACTCTGTGGGGGTTATCAGGAATTTTTTTTTTACACTTTGCATTGCATGAGCAATGAAGATCATGAATGTGTTAAGGTCATGACAGTTCAATATAATAGTGATCTGTGATTGGCTGCAGCTGGTCACATGGTACAGGGTGCTGTGATTGGCCCCATGTGTCATGTGAGAGCTGTGGACCAATCACAGCTCTCCAGGAACAGAAGCAAAGCTTTTGTGAATCAGATTGATTTATAAAAGCTTTGTTGTCATTGTGCAGGATTCTCATTCTGCTGTGTCCACCGGACTCAGCAGACGTGGGGTGGTAGCGCCCCCCTGTGTTGACAAAGGACCAGCGATGCATGGGTATGTTGCTGGTCCTGCAGCTGCCACCTGTCCGCAGTACATTGCGGGTTTGCAACCTGAAAGCGGTTAAGATAATGATAATAAGTGATATTATCTTATAAGATAATAAGTGGCCATGTTGTATCAGTGATGTCACAAGTATCCCCACTGAGTGTGTATGTGCAGCCTTCAAAACTGCCTTAATTCTTTGTGGCATAGAATCAACAAGGTGTTGGAAACATTCCATATTGACATGATAGCATCACGCAGTTGCTGCAGATTCGTCAACTGCACATCCACGATGCGAATCTCCCTTTCCACCACATTCCAAAGGTGCTCTATCAAATTAGGATCTGGTGGAGGCCATTGGCGTACAATGAACCCATTGTCATGTTCAAGAAACCAGTTTGAGATGAGCTTTGTGACATGGTGCATTATCCTGCTGGAAGTAGCCATCAGAAGATGGGAACACTGTAGTCATAAAGGGATGGTCAGCAATAATACTTAGGTAGATCATGACATTCAAACGAGCCTGATCCATTGATACAAGGCAGGATGGATCCATGCTTTCATGTTGTTTACACCAAATTTTGACCATACCATCTGAATGTCATAGCTGAAATTGAGACCCATCAGACCAGGCAATGTTTTTCCATCTTCAATCTTCTATTGTCCAATTTTGATGAGCCTATGTGAATTGTAGCCTCCGTTTCTTGTTCTTAGCTGACAGGAGTGGCACCCTGTGTGGTCTTCTGCTGCTGTCACCCATCTGCTTCAAGGTTTGACGTGTTGTGCATTCAAAGATGGTAATTTGCATAGCTTGGTTGTAACAAGCGCTTATTTGAGTAACCGTTGCCTTTTTATCATCTCAAACCAGTCTACCCATTCTCTTCTGATCTCTGACATCAACAAGGCATATTCGAACACACAACTGCAGCTCATTGGATATTTTCTCTTTTTCAGACCATTCTCTGTAAGCCCTAGAGGTGGTTGTGTGTGAAAATCCCAGTAGATCATCAGTTTTTTAAATACTTAACTCAGCCCGTCTGGCACCAACAACCATGCCACGTTCAAAGTCACTAAGAGTCCCCTTTTCCCCATTCTGGTGCTTGGTTTGAACTTCAACAAGTCATCTTCACCACGTCTAGATGCCTAAATGCACTGAGGTGCTGCTATGTGATTGGCTGATTAGCAATTTGTGTTACCAAGCAATTGAACAGGTGTACCTAATAAAGAGGGTGGTTAGTGTATATTGGCTGGGGGGAGCTTTAAACAAACACTGTCACAATACCCTGAATGGCCTTGTTGACAGTGTCCCCTTAACAAGACAGGGCACCTTTCATACTACCACTTTACATATTTTCTTGCAAGACAAGGAACTGAAGAAGACAATAATGGAAATGTTGGCTGCAGAGCATATTGAAGGCAAATAAACTACTACTCTGGTATCTTTAAGATAAGCCATCCTTAGCCCCATGTCCTTACTTGTCAAACACAGAAGCAGCACAGGAGAAGCAAGTACAAATCTGTAGAGCAAGTTGTCAGGTTGTTCAGCTTGGTGAACATGAGACAATAAGACAAACAAGGTCACGCTAGTCAACGATTGCTGAGTTTATCTTCTTGCCAGTTCCACAACATACGCTGCATTGTAAACCACGAGACAAGTGAAGGATTTTGATGGGGGGATTTATGACAAAAAAAATAACAGTGTGGATCTATGACAAGCAAGTATACCAAGCCTAGATAAAAAGGCACATGTCTGAGTTATCAATGTACTAGGGACAATATTTGATTTTTTTCTTCAATATAATTTTATACTTGTGTGTTCCTTGAAGATACACTATAATGGTTACAATACAGATCCCAATATGCACTTTGCAGTAAGAGGATGATTTTTATTCTGCCCGGGAAAGCTCTTCCTCTTGGCACCGAGGAAGTTAGAAAAAGAGGGCCACTGTCTGGATCAGCCTTTCTCAACTGGGGTGCCACAGCATCTTGGTAGACAAAAGCTATCAGATAAGCCCAAGTAAAGCGCTGAGCAAACTGTTGGCGCTATATAAATCCTGTATAATAATAATAATAGCTCCCGATCCCCGTTCAGACTTAGCAAAGTGAAAACGAAAAGGAGTGTGTGCTGTGCTCTCTACCTCCCCCTAGAGTGCAGTACCCAGTGCGTGAGGGAAGGTATTGTACTGCAACTTTTTGCAGGACTCTGTGTGTGTATATATATATATAATTTATTTGTTTGTTTAGGGCTTGTTCGTAATAGCAGCGAGGACTGCCGCTCCTCTGAAAAGCAATCCATGCTCAGATTGCTTTTCAGAAGCATTTTACAGGCAGTGAAGAGGCAATACGTTGACTCCTCGATACCTGTTTCAACCCCGTAAATGCAGCAACACCACACTGCAACCGCTTGCAATGCACACAGTTGATATATAAATCTGCTTTCTTAACATACAATTCCTCCCTCCATGCTGCCGAACAAGCCTACTTTGTCACTCTTATTAATACCTTGTCATCCAGTCCTCGTTGTCACTTCTCTACTTTTAACTCTCTACTTTCTCCATCTCCACCCAGTACCTCACTCACTGCTTATGAGATTGCAAATCATGTAAAAAACAAGATTGATGCAATTCATAGGGGCATCTCCGCCACACAGACATCTATCCCACTTAGCATACCTTATACTAAACCTCCCTTTACACTTTCCTCTTTTGACCTCGCTACTACTGAAGAGGTCACTAAGGTTTTCTCTGAAGCTCATCTCACTACCTGCCCCCTGGATCCTGTCCCCTCACAACTACTACGGGCACCCTCTTGTTCCATCCTATGCTCCCTCACACACATATTCATTCTCTCCCTCTCTACTGGTGCCTTCCCCTCCCCTCTAAAGCATGCACACAT